ACACTTAATTATACAATTTATAAACATTTTACTTCAAATATTACAGAGAAAAAGGCCAAGAATTATACAATTGCGAATTATACAATTGCAGTGAAATACAATTTTCTCTAGCTTTATACAACAAAAGTGTATATATTGTGTTTCTGTTTTTGTATAAAGCGAGAAAAACATATATCTTCTTGCTATACACTTATAATTATGCAATATACATACATTTTAATTCGATTCAACTGTATGCAAAAAAATTATACAATTGCAGCGAAATAGGCCAGCGAATTATACAATTTAGACCAGTGAATTATACAATTTATGCCAGCGAATTATACAATTGTATATGTATAACAAATTATACAGTTGCTATATAGCGTAATTATGCAAAGTTTGCTATAGCATACAAATATCGTTATTTAATTGAACATTTTACAAACATTATTTATGAGTGTATCACATATATATTAAATATTTTTGCTGATTATAAAAAAAATATCAAAATAACGTAATAAAATATTATTTAAAATGTCTAAAATAAACGATATTTAAGTGAAACTTAATTTCAATTTTAGGAGGTTAGAGTTAGGCCATTCAAAAAAATTGTAGTATATTTAATACAGTAAAGTCCTTTTATCTTTTTAATTTTTTCACATTCGTGTTACCATAGTACCAGTAGTACATTATCCATTGATTGACGCCATTGTAGGGGCAGTAACGAAGCTCAATTAGACCTCACAGAGACGATGGTGGTCGGAGGAGCTGTAGCAGATTGCCTCTCTAAATGTGGAAGTTCGTTCGCTGCTAGGTCTTCTTCATCATCATTTTGTGGAATTGGTTTGAGGCTGAATCTGAATTCGAATATAAATAGGACAATTAGACCTCGCCAAGCTTTTGTTGGATTGTGTGTTGCTAGTTTGATTACGGATTCCGATTCGTTCGAAGTTGGGAGGCTTATCGGTAGCTATGGCTTCATGAACGTCACAAGGTCAGTGGGTGGAGAGGCACCCCAACTCGAACTATATTTTTGTCTATAATAATTGATAGAGTAAAAAATTTTAGCACAAAGTTTGATTTACTTGTTTGGATTATTAGTTGTTACTATTGTATTATATTGTGTTGTTAATTTAAAACAATATTTATTTTGATCTATGCATCCTTAAATTCATAGTTGTTGATACTTAGTTAATGGCGAAACGAAAGATTTATTGTGATGGTGTGTTACTTTATTTATTTTTTTCTCATTTTTTTCTTTATTTGTTATATAATAATCTTATTTTATCTTTTATCATATCTGAACAATAGCTCTTTACTTCATACCTTAACTTAATTTTCGCGTAGGTCTATCTTCAATTTATTGATGTGAGACATTATGTAATGTCAAAACGTTACAATCTATTGAAAATGTTGTATTCATTAAAACAAGTGTGTACGATACATACGATATAATGCAACATAATACATGATGAAGCAAAGGTGTAACAATAACCCAAACAGCGTATGCTGTATAGAACACCACCTCAGGATTTTTCAGTTACAAGATTACAATTTAAACTTGACACCTTACTGTTGATAGTACTTAGTAGATGTAACATTCACTTCCTTTCTAATTCTTTGTGTCTATTCATGATGCTTTTTCTTTTTTAGAATTCATACCATTTAATTTTCTTAATTTGGCTTTGTTTTTAATAGTTACTCGGGGCTTCAATCCGGAATGGCGATGGATTATGCAGTATCAGAAGATATAGGGAACTTTAAAGTACAAGATATTGGAGAAGGAAGTGTCAAGATCAGGTGCAAATTCCTTTTTGGGATGATGTGCTTACTAAACTGTTGAATTTGGATGATGTAGTTAATAGTGGTTTGTTGTTACCATTATTCTTTCTGCTGATATTATCATCCGCAGTTCTTTTGCAGGCTTTATGAAGGAAGAGTGGCCCAAGGTCCACTTAGAGGAACTCGGGTTATTTTTAAGGTGATTTCCATTGCCGTTCTTTCCATGCTGTTATTTTGTAGTCTGTCTTGAACTTGGAACTCTTTCTTTAGCTTGATAACCATTGCATAGCTGAGATTACTTGCTTTCAAGTGATGATTCGGTGACATAAATTTTCAGGTTATTTTGTCATTACTGCTTTGCTTCTACTTCTTGTAACAGTGCTCATGCTACTATACCTAGTAGGATAACATATATATACAAGTGAACGTTGTTACTTGGGAATCTATCCCACTGTCGAATGTTTATGGGAACTCTTGTTGATCCTTGCTTAACCTTGCTTGCTTAACCTTGTTCGACTTCCCTATTAGTGAGATTCATCTTCTCCCGCATTCATACTCTTTGACATATCTTACTCCTTACAGTCTTTTCAAAGAAAAGAATGGGAATTGAGTTCTACCTTTCTAAGTATGCTCATCGGTCATTGCAATGCTTTTGGCATCTAAGAATTTAACATGTAGGATCTTGAGGAAAATATGAGTATACAGACACACAAAAGAGTTTAATTCAAAGCCTGTATTTTTGATGTTAGCTTCCTCCTAAGCTTCTTCAGCAGCCACTTTATCGTCTTTCCCTCTCTCCCATAGAACTTTTACATGATCAGAAGTGCTATATGATGCAGGTATATCCTGGACAACAAGTTGGTGGAACTGAGGCTGACATGATGGCTGCGAATGAGCTGAATGCTCATGCTTCCCTTCAAGTAATATAATAATTCTTTGGTTGAATCTGTAGCATTTATGGAGTTATCCTTCTTGGATAACTGTTGGTTCAATACCTCAAATAAGAATCTTTTCTTTTTGAATTTTCACAGAGCAACCCCAAAGATATCTGCCCACATATTCAAGCACTTCTAGGAGGATTTGAAACAAAAACAGGGGAGCAGGTATGTTTCTGTTTTCTGTCAGTTGTAAACAGATCTGATGTGAATTTCTTGCTTTTGACATATGTTTCTGATGACATCCTGGATTCTTTTGCTCTTTTAGTGGCTTGCTTTTAGGGATATTGGAAAATATAGTGCTGCAGATTATGCTAAAATTACTAGTGAAAATATGTCAAAAATGATTGGTGGGGGAGAACAAAGATTGTGGAACCCGTTTGAGCTGGATCTGACCATAAAACGCAGAAGGTATTTCGTTGTTAGGCTACTTCACGGCACTATGAGAGGTCTGTCTTATATGCATGACAATGACAGATTACACCAAAGTCTTGGTCCTGCATCTGTTGTCCTAAAGTAGGTTTCCTCCACCACTTCCCCTTTTTTCCTTTCATTTGGTTCTTCTGTTTTTTGGGGCTACGGTGGAGGGTTGTTCCTTAAACATTAATACCTCTATCTGAATCATGATTTTGTTGCAAAATACCAGTACAGTTGTTGAGAAAGATGCTGCATATCTAATTCCTCGGCTCCGGGATCTCGCCTTTTCTGTTGACGTAAGGTATCCTCATTACATAGCTTGCACACCGACAATACTAGCATCATGAGGAAACAAACAATAACTAATGTATATCTTGAAAGCTGCATGTGATCCCCCACTTTCCTCCCTATTGATTTTGGATGACCTAAAGATTACTTTTAAAATATTGGAAAAGCTGAATATTCATTTTTTTCCTTTTAGTTGACTGTAACGCTATTTAGCTTGACAATGATTGGTTGATATGGGAAGTATATGCAAAGTAGTTGATAACTACTTCTCATCTGTGTTTAAATTTTTGTTATTCCTTTTGAGGTGTTTCTGGCTACTTCTTTAAGGAGAGTATCTTCCAAGGTCACTAGAGACGAGCAATTTTACGGAAACACAACTATAGTTTAATTGATTTTATTACTTGTTTCCCTTATGACTACCATATGCCAACTTTTCTTCTCAGATAATTTGGGCAATGAAGGTGTTGAAAGTAAAAAAAATAAGAAGCTAGCTATATGACTATCAAAATTGGCATGTTATAACCATTTGGCTTTATAGGTATTCTCAACTTGAAGATCGTCCTAATATCTTGTCAGAAGGACTTTGGAGACGGGCATCTGTAGCTGGAGCGTCTAGTCCTTTGGAAAGAAGAGCTTTTGGAATAGCAGATGATATGTACATTCAACGTGTACAATAGCTTTTCCTTGGGTTAAAAGTTTTAGGTTTCTCATATCAATTCTTGTGTTATTTGCAGATATGAAGCTGGACTGCTTTTTGCTTATTTAGCCTTTGTTCCATTTTGTGAAGCAGGAGTCATGGACAGCATATCATTGCGGGTTTGTGACCTGTACAATTATGTAAATGTTTTATCTTCTGATCTTATTTGGGTTGGAGCTAATTATTATCCTCTGTCATCTCATTGCAGAGGCTCCTGGAAAATACTTTTCAACTTGATCTTCAAGCTGCAAGGGAGTAAGAGACCTCACTTTGAATGCATGATTTGAAAAAAAACTAAAATGACCAGAAGTTGGACAGGCTTAAGGTCATACAATGTTTATGTGGATTACCACGTTTTTATTGGCCGACAAAGTTAAGTCCATAGCTAGGAGTTGTAGAGATGTAGTGTCTGGAAGGCACCCGTCCACCCTAAATCCACCCGTTTGCGAGAGAGATGACAGTGAAGTGCAAAAAGACGTTACTGTGGTTTATTGAATTTTGGTAGTAGCCCCTTAAGTATAACTCCTATTTAGGTTCGATTCCAGTTGAGAGATTCTTTTATTTGACTTTGTTTTGTCATTATACATTTCCCACCTTCTCGAGTCAACTAAACACACATACATCATCAGTTCTTATCAAGACTCTTCATTCTTATATTTGTCAGATATTGTTCTGCTGATGATCGCCTGCTAGAAGCTGTCAAGTTTCTTGATCTAGGAGATGGTGCTGGCTGGGAGTTACTACAGGTTGAACATTCTCAACTACTGCAACCAATATTTTCTTTTTCCGTTCTACTTTTTTGAGTCTGCAACTGCTTGAAGCATCGTGACTATGAGGCAGAGTGCTTTAAGTTCCTTCATAGCATTACTTCAAACTATGCAGGCAATGCTAAATCGTGACTACCGTGGGAGGCCAATCGCGGAAGCTGTAGTAAACCATCGATTCTTGAGTGGTACTTTCGTGTGAGATCACATAGAATTTGAATTGTACATAACATTTGTGTGCTGCTGATCCATATGGAGATGAGAACCCACAGCACCAAACTACACCAGTTATCAACCATGTATGTTTAACTCTCGAGATATTCTAATGATCATATAAATTGAGACTAACAATGTGGTTTTTACTTGAATAATGAGGAAGAGGTTGAATCCAAATGTTGGATGTTGGTTGGACTAAGTTGAAACAATTGGTGCTTGAGTAATTAAAAGAGTAATGTCTGTGTTTTGGCAAACAATAGAAAACTCCTTTGTTATTGTCACGACATATTGGAAAATATATCTTATTTGCTAGACTGTGCAATACATGGTTTTAAAGGTATATATTCGTTCATGTGAACATATTACTATTTATAATTATGTAATTTTTTTAATATCAGCCTGGGCACAAATATACCTTTAAAAAAAACTCTATTAAATAGTGCAGGGCGTGAAAACATAATTTGTAAAATTAACAGAAACGGTATCGAAAGTCCGTTGAATGCATGGCGTATTCTTATAAAAACTATTTTTCTCAAGTACCTCGGATCAAAGGAATATATCCTTCCAAGATAGGGCGATTTTACTATCTGTGTACTGATATTAAAAACAATAGTATTAGTGAATCACTTAACGGGAGCAAAGTACACTAACTAATTCAATTCAATGTATTAAACAATATAAACATACAAAAATAAAAGAAATGATTCAATTTATCAATTTCAATTCTATTTGATTCATTATTTGATTGTTAATCATATACAAAAATAAAAGAAACGATTCATTCAAACGAGAGGAAAAAAATAACAATTAATCATTTGAAAGAAAATGAATAATCTCCATGTTCTTTTGTATCTTATAATTCTTATACCATAACTCAATTATGTTGAACTTCTTCGTTATATTATTAGCTACTTCAATGTATTAAACAACATAAATATACTTAATAATCCATAAACTACCTATATTAATTATTGCACAAACAAAACACAACAACTTTTACGCAAAAAAAAGTTATTCATAAAAATGATATATTATGTATATACAATTACAAATAAATACGTATATTAATTTGTTAAGTGATTTTTTTTGAATAAAACTAATATTAAACCAATTATTATCGATTTTAAAATTCATAAACTCAAATTTAATCTGATCCAATCTTTTAATTTGAATCAATTTTTATTCAATTTCTGAACATCCTTAATTAAAAAAGGTGTAAATCTTTTTTTTTTTTGAAAAAGCTAAATATTGTTGTTTCCTCAAAAAAGTAAGGCTATTCCAAATTTCTTTCTTCTTTTTTATCCTCTTAAATTTTTTACTCCCTCCATTTAAAAAAAAAAAAAGGACCTAGTTTAACTTAGAATAGAATTTAAAAAAATAAAAAATAATTTTTAATCTTATAATTTTAAATTAGGTTTTAAATATACTATGTGAAAAATTAAAGTTAAAATATTGTCAAAAAAAAATATTTTTAAAAGAAAACTAAAAAAGAAATACGGATATTTTATTAAAACGGAGGAAGTATCTCTTGTCATCAAAACAAATTACTATCACCAATATTTTTTTATTTTTTTTTAAAATTATCCCATATAATTTAAATAAAAAATAATAATGGATCTGCAAAATCTTAGTTAATTGGGGCTACTGAGATATTTGGATGCACCGGCAAAGTTGTATCGCTGAGTCGTCGACGGGAAGAAAATTGAAAGAGAATCGGATTCCTTCTTCATTTTGAGTTGAAGGATTCTTATCTCCGACGTAACGGAAAGGAATCGCTGATTTTTTTCCAATTCTTTATCATTATTTATACTTATACCTCTTTCTTGCTTCATCCAAAACTCAAATTCAACTGCTACATCTCAGGTAATTAATTGTTTGCTGCTGATCTAACAATTTTCGGCATAGAGATCATGAAGTTCGATTTCATTTTTCATACCCCTTTTGTTGGTTTGGTTTTGATCAGTGACACTGTTGTTGTTGTTGGGGTGATTGATTTTCCTCAAGTTCAATTGGGTATTCCTTCGATTTTTTGTTTCTGGTTGAAAATTTTAGCTAAGTTTAGTTGTAGGTGGAACTTCATAGAAGTTGTGGATGAAGTTTAGTTGTAGGTGGAACTTCATAGAAGTTGTGGATGGCTGCTATAGGGCTCTACACCATTAATTTCTGATACATTAGAATTTGGGTACTCGAAATTTACTTGGTAATCGTGCAGGATTTAGTAAGTTCTTGTCTTTTTTATGTCTGATAACTTTGGTGTTGTGTGTAGGCGAGCTTCCACGCATCTCTACTAATTCCATGAGAAAGCTCTTGATTCACATTAGTGTGTTTCCTTTTCCTTTTTCGAACTTGAAGTAGAGAGCTAATTTGGTTCAACCCAAAATGTATATTCTGAAGGTTGTCAAATACTGAGCGGAGTTCCTAGTTTTTTTATTGCCATCTATTGTATGTTAACCTCCAACTCTGAAAACAAACCATGAAGTATGATGGGATCTTTCATCATTCGAGTAGAGCCAAGTTTTTAGCATACAGAAGAGTCTTGTATTTGATAGCCTAAAATCAAGTTCTGAATTTTTAGATACTTGAGACTTGGATAAGAGCTCTTTTACTCAAGAAAAAACCTAATGTGTATATTTGTGAACTTATTCAGACTTGCGTCCTTTTTGTTTTATGTAGTACATATTTGGCGTGGTGAAAGCTGCTGGAGCTCCTATTACCAGGAGGGCTTGTTACTGGACGGCTTTGGGTGACTTTCTTGTGAAGCTTAGGTTTTATTCTACCTCACGTGTATAAAGAAATTGATGAAGAGAAAGAAATCAACTTTTACTTGTAGAGATTAAATGGCCATTGTGGTTGATGATGTATAGATGGAGAGAACACTTCTCAGACGAGCTTTACAGATACACCAATTGTTTGCTGGGGATTGATACTAGATTGTGCGATGCTGAACCTCAAACTCTCTCACAATCCACTCATACAATATAGGCCAATACGAACCTCTGATTTAGAAGTACTTGAAAAAATTCATGGGGATCTGTTCCCAATCAGGTCAGATTATTTATTTTATGTTTGGGTCATTCAGTTATTAGATATTGTCTTGAACTTTCAAATCGGAGTGTGCTCCTTTACCAAAACCTTTGGTTTTTAAAGCACACATCTAATCTTGTTAATAACTTTTTTTTCTTTTGGGATATTTAGATATGAGTCTGAGTTCTTCCAAAATGTTGTTAATGGACGAGACATTGTGTCATGGGGAGCTGTTGATCGTAATCGACCCAATGAGCAGAGCGACGAACTTATTGGATTTGTGACTGCCAGGACTGTTCTAGCAAAAGACAGTGACGTGAGCATTTCTGCCTTTTTACTCTAAGAATTTATCCTGCAAAAATTTATTAATTTTGAATAACATATATACCTACAGATAGAAGAATTTCTGAGGTATGACTCATCTAGATCAGAGCAAACACTTATTTACATCTTGACTCTGGGGGTTGCAGACTCTTATAGAAATCTTGGAATAGGTGAGGCTTTCTTTTCTTATACACTCTCTTAGTTCTACTTCTATCTTTCATTGTATGACTTACTAAATGTTCTGCACTTTTGGATTTTCAGCCAGTTCTCTCATTCGCGAAGTCATAAAATATGCCTCTAACATCCCAACTTGTCGAGCAGTTTACCTACATGTGATCTCATATAATAACCCTGCCATATACTTGTACAAGAAAATGTCATTTCAATGTGTGAGGAGGCTGTCTGCCTTTTATTTTATTAATGATCAGCATTACGATGCGTACTTGTTCATCTACTATGTGAATGGTGGTCGCTCTCCTTGCTCACCCTTGTAAGTGCAAACTTCCCTTTCTCTGAACTCACATGACGAAAATTTCCTCTTTCATTATTGACCAATATGAATGATTAAATTGTCATTTGGGAATATCATCCTGGTAGAGCCGTCATTTTTCAATTTCATGTCCTTAACGGTTCAAAAGAGTGTTATTAGTAAAAGTACACTGTCATTCTTTTGGAGTAAAATACATAAAGCACCCTTGAGAAGCTGATCTGCTATTCACAGTTTTCAGCTTGAGGATTTGTTAGAGAGGCCATTGAGCAAATCTGCTGTTGCGAACTCTTGGGCCTCTATATTTCTCAGGTTGTCCAATTCTATATTGAGAGTTCAACATGCTTTATGGATGCTTTCTGATTTTAAACTTGGAAAAATTGGGAAATCCTGGTAGAACTTAATTAGCTTTACCTTTCCTTTTCTGTGGCACTGTTTTGTCTTGGTTGATTCAGTTTCAGTTAGAAAGAACAGAAATACATGTATTTGTGATGGGCAGTTGGCTTGATGCATTTAGGAGTCGTTTGGTAGGGTGTATAAGAATAGTGTTGAGTAGAGTGTACTAATAATGACATTAGTAATGCGAAGATTATTTCTTATGCATTGTTTGATTTGGTATATTAAAAATAACATGCATTGCATAATTTATTTTTAAAATAATATTCACAAAAATACCTTCCACAAAGATGATGGAAAGGGATTCGAGAGGCAATTGTGTCTTTATCCGTGTTGATGCATGCATTTAACCCGTTCATTACTAATACCGTGGTTAGCTAGGTTTTAGTTATACATAGCATAATACCTAATAGAGAGTTATACATAGGTTGAAAAATGTACCAAACAAGGTACTAGTAATACACAAAAGTAGTGCATGCATTAATTTTTATAATGCACTCTGACAAACGACCCCTTAGTGTCTAGTACTTGGACTAATAGAGCATTAAACATGTGTAACACGGAGAAGTGTGAGTTATGAGGTTGTAGGGATGAAGATGGCCTCCTGCCCTCTTCTCAAAGTGGTAGCCTGAGATTGCCATCACATTGTAGTGCTGGATTCTCACATACTTGAACTCCAAATAAGAAAGAACAAAATTGATTCGAAAAAGCTTGGTGGTATTATTATTATTTTTAAGCTTGGTGGTATTAAGAATAGTTCAGGTGGGGAATTTTGAGGATAAAGAGAGGAATAGAATCTAATTCAGGTTCATTTTAACCGAAGAGTAAATCCAATATCACATAATCTATTTGAAATGATCCTTTAGGAGGCTCCTATCCAATATATCTTTGGGAGGAGAAGCAACAGTATATAGTTGCCAAGTTTCTTGGGAAGGGTGAAAAAATGAGAACTGGAATATGCTGAAGTGTTGCGAAGAAAAATCCATTGTTTTTCTCGCTTCGAAGATGAAATCATCATAATAAATGTTCTATGGAAGCATTGTTGCCTCCTGTATTTCTGAGCTAGTGATGACCTAATGATTATTTGTTCCATGTTCCATAACACGATAGTAGTAGTAATGTCTGTATTGCTGAATCACTTTTACCTTATAGTCGGTGACAGATTCCTGTGTGGGGTAAAAGCAGTTGCAAGCGCTAATTTACTTTTGCATGTTTTCCTTCAACTATGAAGTTAGCTTGAGTCTGTCTTTCAATTGAAACAAATGAAAGTTTGAAGGTTGCAGTCTAGGATTTTCTTTTCAGACACCACGACAACAACAGTTACAACTCAATCCCTGCTACTTTTCTAATGGATGTTACTTAACTATATGAGAATTGTCCTTTTGAATTTCAGAGAGCTCATTAAGCTTATAGTTACTGGAGCAAAGAGTGGATACAGGATGGTAGCTGCCAAGCTTTGGAGGAAAGAAGACAGAAAGCCTTCCAAGTGGTCCAAATGCAAGGAGTCTGGCTCCCTTCTTCCAACAAAACATAACAAGAGGATGCCAACCGAGGGTGCTCTGTCTCAATTCGTTTAATCCTCTACTAGCTTCTGCATTTTAGTTGACATTGGAAATGGATACAAACGTTTGGAAAGAAATGTTATTTAATCTTCTATCGCGTCGTTTTAACAGTGTGTTTTACTTGTACCTAGAAGAACAAACCATTTCTGATGTTCTTCATCTTCTGTGCTTGTGATTTACTTGTTGATTTGTAAATTCTTTTGAAAAGTCACCCAAAAAATTTAATAATATGTGTCGAGAATTGAGATGAATTGACGGGACTAGAAAAGTTGCTCAGATGTTAAGCATTCTCACAATCAATTTTAACGTTGTTTGTTCTAATACCCTCAAGAAATTGCTCAAGTTTGTTCATCATTGCATTTTTGGTTGATTCTTTCCCTTATTGTTAGCAAAAGAATCTTGTATTTTATTCTTGTCATTAGCAGAGTTGCAATGTGAAATCGGTTGACTCTGCGTGCCCAAATTATTTAAATTTTGCATCAGCTGACAAATACACTCCAACTTATTTGCCATCGAACTTTTAGAAAAGGTTTACTTATGTCATTCGTTAAAAGTTTGGTTTGTCTATACTATTGATGTTAAAAGAAATGACTAATCCGTGCATTTTTTAAACTCAAATAAATATCTCAAAAGGTCATCCAACTTTGAGGAATTATCTTGTAAATCCTTAGATAAGTACCTTGAAGGAGAATCTTGAATAAAAGTTTAATGCTTTGATTTTTCTTAGGATTTTGACTTGGAATCGAGAAAGAAGAGAATTGAGGATTAAGAGATAGAAATCTGATTGTTCTAAATCTTTTTATTAGTCAATAAATTTGTTGAAGGTTTTCTTAGGGTAAAAATATAAAAAGGACCCTTTTAGTATTTTTTTACCCGTAGGTTAAATCGTCACTGCACCGTATCAAGTTAATAAAAGCAACTTTCACATATAATAAACACAAAATTTATATTTGTATACTATAACAAAGTTTGAATTATTGCTCCATAGCAAACATAAATATGTATAATTTGTTATACATATACAAAGAAACTAATTGTATAATTCGCTATACATATACAAAAGAAAACAGTTGTATACAAATCAATTGTATAATTTGTGTATGTATAAAACGAGAAAGAGAGAAAGACAAAAGAAAATTGGGTAGGGGAATATTTGTATTGTATAATTGTAAAAGTATAGGACAAAGATATATGTATTTGCAAGTGTATATACAATTTTCCCTCACTTTATACAAACAGAAACACAATTTATACATTTCGTTTCTGTTTGTATAAGCGATAGAGGGGAGGGCTGCGAGTGAGATCTGGGAGAGTGGCGAATGAGATCTGGGAGAGGGGAGAGAGGGGAACAAAAATATATGAATATATACAAATTTTTCTCTCTTTATACAAATAGAAACTCATTTTATACACGTGTGTTTGCATAAAAGTGAGAAGGAGCGAGCGAGAGAGATGACTGACAAACAGTTTGTTACAGGGTACAATTAAATTAAAGTGTAGTTAACATTTAATTTAATTTATTAGTTTGTCATTATATATAATTTTCCCTTAATAAAATTATCATAACTATTTACTTTGAACTTGGAATGATGAAAAATTAGTGGTGTTGGAAAGAAGATTCTAATACTTTCAATTTGATAGGCTAAGGACTATGTAAATTTTCATACTCTAAGAGATATAGTTATTTGAAGTTGACCTAAGAGGAATCTTACACAAAAACTTAATCAATAAGGAAACTTTCAAACTCAACTTTGTGCTAGGGGATTCTTAAGACATTAATTCATTCACACATTAAAGAATTAACCTTAACACCTAAGCACAATTTAAGAGTCACCTGATACAATCTTATAAGCAAATGATGAATTGTATGGATCAGGAGCAAATTTAATTACATCCAAAATGTGTCACGTGACACGACTTCGTCAATTTTTTTTTTTACCGAATATACCTATATAAAAAGAACTAACAAATAAAACAAGACAAAAGAATATACAAGACACTCTTGTAATATAACGCGGCTGACACAATTGGTAGACGCGCCACATTCTCTGGGCGGCGTTGCGGGTTCAATTTTGAAGTGGTACATTTTCTTTTTCTCTAATTTTTATTCACTTTTTAATTTTTTCTTTTCTTAAAATTATTGATTTTTTGTTTTAAAATCAAAACAACAGGTCGCTTCATTAAAACCCTACTCACCCACTTAAATTCATTCAAAATCTAACTAATTTCTTTTTAGAAGTAATACAAAACTCAAAATTTCCTTTATCAATTAGAGTTATAGTTAAATAAAAATAGGTTTGACTCCTTAAATCCTGTAATGTATATTTCTAACTTGTGAATTTGTTCAATTTTCTTTCCTTTCCTTTCTTATTCATTTATTTCGACATCTCAAATCTCCATATCAGGTTAGTATTTTTTTGCGATTCTATTTTTTTATTACGTGCTTGAATTTTTATTTTTTTTTTGTTCATCATAATAATTTTATTTTTTACTATCTACTTGTTACAATTAAATAATTTATAATTCATTACATTGATCAAAATTGTCCGCAATCCACTATTATTTGCAAAATCGCTGCAGTAGTAGCGGTTTTGCTTTTTCCAGCTGAGGAAATCGCTGTTGTTCCTGCGATTTTGTCATTTTGATTAATATAAAATTTTATATATCGTTTTAAAAATTTTATTAATATTTTATACCCTTTAGGCTTCAGACTCGAGTTAATTAGGGTATCGCAATAAAAAGCATAAATGAACTGAATCAGAATAAATTGTGCACTAAGAAGTAGTAACTGATAAATTTTTGTGGCATTTCAATGGAAGCTTACTCATTAATCAGTTAACCAGAAAACACTAGTTAATAAATTTTAGGACATTTTAATGGAAGCTTACTAGTTAATCAGCTAATCAATGAACAATAATTGATGAATTCCAGGACATATCAATTGAAGCTTACCCATGTAATATTTTTATTACAAATAACAAAATAGCATTTCGTAAAGGTTAATTTCACTAACAAGCACTAACTTTTGCCTTTATTACAAAAAAGTGACCAGTCTATTTGTGTAATAAATAACAAAACGAAAAGGCATAATACAAAAACATGATTTTTAACTTGACGTCAATCGATAACTATGAGTTTTAGCTTTGAATGTACACGAGTATACACTTAAACTTATATAAGATTGAACAAATAGATACATTCATTCTACATGACACCCGACATGAAATTTTATGTCTTATGTGGCGTCTGTCCTACACGGAAAATATCATGTAACTTATTTAATTTTATACAAGTTTAAAGTGTCTACTTGTGCATGTCCAAAGTTGAAAAGCATAGCTATCCGCAAAAATTAAGTTGAAGATCATATTTATGCCAAACGAAAATGTCACTCATCTTTACCAACTACGAGCCCAGTACCAGTCCATAATCAACCTACACCATTACATGCATGAAAATTAAAATAGTAAAAGTCTAATGATTAAAATCGATTCAGTCATTTGTCACTCCGATTTGTTCAAAAACAAATCATAATCAGCCTAGTTATAAATTGTTTCTGTTCGAATTCGCCTCCTTGTTCTTATTCTCCATCTGGTTCGAGTTACCACTCTCTCTGCTTCGCTTTTGGTGTGCAATATCAATGAAGAAATCAGTCAGCACAGTCTCGAATTCGGGCATTTTAGCATAACCAGGGAAGTAATTGACATCGATTACAAGATATCGAGTTCGAATTCTACTGTCCCTTAACATATCAAAGTTAAATAGATGCAGCTTCAGAGCATCCCTCATCCGATTAGCCACTTTGTTTACAAAGCTCAAAGGCGGCATTTCTGCCGCCTCGATGAGCTCTGCAAAATTCTCGTGATCGCTCTTGTTTTGAGCAGAAAAGTTAGATACCTGATAAGTCTCTGAGGTGCTAGTGTTCAGTTTTTCTTCAGAGATATCAGCCAATGACTTTCTTTTCACGCACTTCACGTGATCTCCTGCTACATAAACTTTGAAAATGACTCCACCGTGGTTCACGAATTCTTGTAGCACAATTGGCGGGTTCAATTTTGTTAAACCGTTTTGGTTTAGGATTAAAGACATTTGGTGTGAATTTGCAGCGCCATCTGCTATCAATGGCTTGGCAATTAGGGGAAACTTCAAACCCTCACGAGTCATAGTGTCCTGCAGAGATTCCGATGCATCTTCCGATATGAAAACCTGCAAAACCAATTATTGAAGATTACAATCTAGAGGTATCGATACGAATCTCTGATCTATCAATTCACACTCGTACAAGTTACAAATAGGTAAAATTTTGACCCAAATTTTGTATTTGTATTAAGAAAAATGAACTTTGTAAACTGTCATGTTCTAAAATCCAGTAGAATCAGCATACTATCACTTTTCCAACTCTCAAAAGTGGATTTGCGTATAACAAAGGAGGTTCAATTGAGTTCACAGTAAACAATAAGATATAAGCAATTGAGTTTTTATATTTTTGTTTGGAGAATTAAAAACCTGCAAAGGAGTTTCGAGATTCTCGATTTTCAATTCGTTGACGAATTGGAGCATAGAGACTCGATTCTGGAGCTTCTCGACGGCATTTACAGGGTCAATTATGAGTGTAGTCGGGCTCTGGATGGAGAATTCTTCGAGCTGTTTCCTCCACTCTGGATCATATAGCTTGTGAATGACGCAGTCAAAGGGACCTTGTTCAATCAATGGCTTTTCGAGATCGATAGGGATGAGATCAACGCCTCGATCTCGGGCATGAATGACCAGAGAATCTTTCATAAAGGTGTTGATCTTTTGAGGTGAAAGAGCGTAACCAATAAGAAACCTCTTTCCTCCTAGTGATTCAGACATGGTTAGCTACACAACAAATGAATAGTTGTTTGAAAGCAATGAACAGAAACTAAAAGAGATGAAATAATGAGTCAATGTACAGAATGCTACACTTGGCAATAGAAAATTAATAGCTTTGATTACAAAGTGTATAATTTAGAATAAGAAAATAAGGGAACATGGCAACAAAAAATTGCTACTTCGCTTTATTTTCAAAGTGCAAGTGTAAATGCGAATACTGAAAAGCAAAGGGAAAAAAATGTAGGTAATGTGTTTGCACGTTATGAATCTTTAAGTGGAATATATTCTCACAAGTTAATGGTTTCAAAATAACTTTTAGGCTATACACTCCATTAATATTTTTATACACGTAATATGATTTTTCAATCATATTTATATAAAATAGAATCCTAAACCTGTTTACGTAGCGTCATTACAAGCAAAAATTTTATTTTAAATTTATTTATTTTCAAAATTAGCCTTTATCTTTCATAAAAAAAATGTAACTTTTTATGAAAAGTTGCGACTTTAATAAAGAGTTGTGACTTTTATGAAAAGTTATGACTTTAATGAAGAGTTGCGACTTTTTTCAAATGTTAGGACTTTAATGAAAAGTTGCGACTTTAAGAAAAGTTTTGACTTTTATGAAAGCTTGTGAACTTTTCGAAGGATTGCAACTTTTTCAAATAGTTGTAACCTTTTTGATAAGGCACAATAAACATTTATTCACACTACCCTTTGTTGTCTGTAAATAGAGGAATTTTCTCTCATTTTAAAACAACAAAAATTTTGATCTTCTTTTTCTACTTCCGCAGAATTAAATAGTTGTGTGTCTTGCTCCTGTTGAGTGACTTACTAACACCACTGTTTTTGTATCAATAAGTTGATAAATAAAATCATTTCATTCCGAGAGCATGTAATTCTTTACACCTTTGATATTGGAGGGAAATGATTTCCTCAAGGGGACATTCGTATGTTTTTTACACTCATTAATTTATGCATATGATATTAATTGTTATTTTTGAGTACATGTTTTATACTCTGTTGTTTTTGTTTCTACAAAGTTATTGTCTCTAGTTATATCGAACATATATACATATAGTATTTATATTCATTGTGCAAAAAATAATTGTTGTTTCCAGTTTCAAGAATTCATGATTTCTATATGAAATTCTAAAACTTAAAAAGTACTATATATAAGCTTACATATTATCTTTATTTTACATAGAAATGAAATTTCTCACTTATCATTTGAAGAAATTCATCATACAAGTTCAAAAATTATAATTCTTGTAATATTCAAGCATACTTTCTTTTTTGAATATGTTAACAAATTTTTAAATTTTCTCCTAAGATATATATCACAATCATATAATCTATGTAACTTAATGTTTTTTTTATTATTATGAAATGCCTTTATATATATATTCTTGTTTTCTTCTTTGTTTTCCTTTTAATGTTGATTAAAGAACCAATAATTTATTATTTCGTGAATAATTCATTCATTAAAGTTTCTTGGATTATGCGATCATAAAAAATGCTCCCTCCATCCCATTTTATGTGGCAACAGTTGACCGGGCACGAATTTTAAGAAATAAAAGAAAGACTTTGAAATGTTTACTAAATTGTCTTCAAAAAAGTAAATTCATTTTTCTTTCTCCACGTAAATGTATTATAGTATAATTTAATTAAGTGGGACCAACAAGGATAAAAAATAAATTGTACCTTCAAATACTTACCATATAAGGAAATGTGACATTCTTTTTGGGACTGACCAAAAAGGAAATGATGCCACATAAAATGAGACGGAGGGAGTAATCAAATTTACATTGGAATATTGCTAATATTTTTTTAAGAACTTTTTTTTCACTATTTTTAAACTATGAGTATAAATAAAAATTATTTGCAAGTTCAATATAATTATTATTTGTGATCACGTAAAGCGCAAACAAATTACCTTTTTTTTGCCTAGTAAAACATATTTGACTGACCACTCTTCACCGTCTAACAAATGGATGAGAGTGACAATCTACATATTTAGATCTTAAAAAGATGCACCCAAGAGCCATTTATTCAGATTGTACTAACACGCATTAAGAAAACCGACTTTGATAATATCCAACTTCAAAAAATAATATTCATAAGGTGAAAATGATTCAAATCATATAAAAATCATTCTCTCACTAAAGAATTGATGAAAGACTAAAAACACATCTTAGTTGAGGAGGGAGACCTCCGTCTCTCTTGTTACATACACTAATCATATGATTAGTCATTATATAATAATCGATCGTAAGACAAAAATGTTCTCACCCTTATCTATACTCGAAAAGTCATTTCATCTTACTATAAAAACTAAAACTATTTATCTCGGAATATTTATTATTTTATAAATCAAGATAAAATTAATTTTGCCTTTAATATTCACTGATCTTAAAGTAACCATTCTTTATTACATAGCATATATTTGTAAATTTGAAGAGTTCAAACCAGTATTTGTTGGTTGATACAAAATTATTCAAATATTAATAAGATTTCCTTACCGTTAATCTCAAATAATGTAAATAATTATTGAGAGAATTAAAAAATAAATTTAATAATTTTTTTTTATATAGTGTATAAGAAATATTTTCAAAAAGGATAACGTGACATTTTAATTTTTATAATAATAAAATTAAAAAAAACGTAAGGACAAAATTCTCTAAAACCCTAAACCCTGTTCCTGCTCCTGCTCCGCCCTTTAACGCTCTTTCAGAGAACTGGCACATATTGCTTCACAATTTACATATAGTGTGTGGTGTTGGAGAATTTCGCTGCCCAAATCAAGAGGAAGAAAGACACTAAAATGGCTTCAGTATCATTGAAGAAGAGTTACAAGTGTATGCAGTCTTTGCAGCAGTTTTATACTGGAGGGCCTTATGCGGTTGCTTCAGATGAATCGTTTCTTGTATGTGCTTGTGATGAAAAGATAAAGATTGTTGATTTATCTAACGCTTCGATAAAATCTACAATAGAGGGTGATTCTGAAGCAGTGACAGCTCTTGCTCTTAGCCCTAATAATAATATCCTCTTTTCTGCTAGTCATAGCCGACAGATTAGAGTTTGGAACCTTTCCACGTTGGAATGCATTCGCTCCTGGAAGGTAATAATCTTGAAGTTTTTAGCTTTACTTGTTTATGATACAAGGTGTTGAGTAGGGGAATTGAACTGGTGAGTTGTTGTCTGGATTAGGGAATGTATTGTATCATACTGTATTGTTTAGTGAAAAAAACCATTAGATAGATTATATCGTTTTCCAGAGTTTGTTAATGCCATACATCAATACATAATAAATTATAAGGGAGCTACTATAAAAGTATTGAATAATAAGTAAAGATAAAATGCGAAAAATACAATAAGATAATGACGTGATCACACCATATTGATTATTACACAAAATGTGATTTTTCATCCTTACAATAGAATAAAATTTAAGCAACAAACAAGACGAATAATGTATTTAAACTAGCAAAACAATACAATGAGTTACAACCATCTAAACAAGTTGTTAGTAGGTGGGATAGCTAGCAGAGTATTTGTTTTTTTTCTAACTTGAATGTTGACATGTGTCTTTTACAGGGGCATGAAGGACCTGTAATGGGCATGGCTAGCGATGCATCAGGTGGGTTGCTGGTGACAGCTGGGGCTGACAGGAAAGTTCTTGTGTGGGATGTTGATGGAGGCTTCTGCACTCATTATTTCAAAGGTCACAAGGGGGTTGTCACCAGCATTATGTTTCATCCTGACCCGAATAGGCTGCTGGTGAGATTTGGATTGTTATAGTTACTGGCTTGCTTCCTTGTCATATCAAACCTGTAAAAGAATCACATTTTTTCAACCGAGATTGCGGTGTTGTAGTAGTTGTATATGTATATCCAATTTTCTCATGATGCTCTAATGGTCTCTCTTTCCTTGTTTATGCTGGAAATGTTGACTCTTTAACAGGTCCATGTCAGCCAGGGCTTTTGTCTTGTAAACCTTTTTTTTTTAACGATGATAGAGCTTTCTAGACTATTTTAGAATTCGAGGATGAAAATGCAGGAGTTGTGAAAACCTCCCTTTATTTAGCTGGTAAAGTTTTTGTTTCTAACAAATCACTGCTTATTGCTACTGTAGCTATCTATTAAGAAGCTTCTGTTATGTAGTTGTTAATTGAGTCATTTGTGGTACTTGCTCCCCATATTTACTAAAATAAGTTTCTTCTAATTATGTGTGGTGGACATGGTAAATTCTACCCTTTTTTTCCCTGGTTTCTCTCTGTTTGCTTTTCCTCTTGTTGAACTAATTGGCTCATTGTTTATGTGTATGTCTATAGGTGTTCTCTGGTGGTGATGATGGTTCTGTAAGGGTCTGGGATCTGATAGGGAAGAAATGTCTGTCAACACTAGAGAAACATCAATCAGCTATCACTTCCATGGCAATATCTGAAGACGGATGGACTTTGCTTAGCGCAGGGAGAGACAAGGCATGTTCTCCTTTTACTCATCTGTTTTTCCCATTTTTATGTTTTAGCGGGGCAAGTTGAGAAAAGCCTGATTGTTTCTGAGGTCATAAATAAACTAACGTGGACTAAAGGGAGCTTAGCTTTAGTCATATCATGGTCTTTAAATTTGAATCCAAGAATCTAAGCTGAGATTAGTAGCTTGCATCACGCAATGGATAAGCTGGCTTAGAGCTTCTGACTATCCTAAACAATGCCATCTTAGTTGTTAGATGGCCTATATACATGCTAGCGGATACTTCTATCATGCATATTACCAATCAAATTTTTTGTTGAAAGTCATCAGCTTGGAAGCTTTTTTCTTCTTTTTCTGATTATGCTTCATGATGACACCTTGAGTGCCAATCAAAACACTTTCTGATACTAAGACTAATGACAGGTTGTAAATTTGTGGAACTTACATAATTATGGCTGCATGACCACCATACCAATGTTTGAGTCACTTGAAGCGTTGTGTATAATTGGTCCAGAATCTCCTTTTGCTGCATCCCTGTCTTCATTGACATATCTACAGACAAAGAAGAGAAGTGATGTACCATCAATTAATTTCATCACTGTTGGCGAGCGAGGATTGGTTCGAATATGGAGTGCTGATAGGTACTTGATAATCTCTTTAAAGTTCTTGATATGATCTAAAATTTAAGCCAGTCGAAGCTTGAGAGATGCACTTTCTCTAATCTATCTTTTCTGAAAGTGTTGCTATTTTT